GCATTTGATTTTAGAACTCTTCTTACTTCAAGACCTCGATCTATCATTACTAAAGCCACATTCCATTGATCTTCCTCTCATCATCGTCAAAATCTCTGCTTGTTTGGAACTTTCGCCTTTACTCATTCGCCTAGATCCTTCTTCAAGAATAACTCTGACGACATCCTCAAAGTGCATATTTCCATTAATATTATTATTTGTAATATTGATGATGAGTTGATCATACGAATCAGGTAAAATCTGAAGTAGAAGCTCTGGATGCACATTTACAACTATGTTGAAATTTGCCGCTGATAGTTGGACAAACAAGGTATTCAAATAGTTGATGTGATCCGTCACTGATGTGGACTTTCATCCGAAGAGTATAGAGTTTTCTCTTCAAGAATATTATTGTGTGAAGTGACTTCACCTCATAGAGTTTAATAAGGGTATCCCAAATCTCTTTCGCAATAGTCTTCTCCGCAACACTGGATAAATCTGAATCTGCCATTGATAAGTGCAAATTCACAATAGCACTATCGTTTATTTCTTTCCATCGTCGTTCATCCGTGTGTTATACGGTTCTTTCCGCAATTGTATCAATATAATTGTCCTTCCTCAAAATTGTCTTTATCTTCAATTTTCACAATGAGAAATTACTCTCATTAAACTTCTCTATCTCATATTTTGTTGTAATGGTTCCAAATCGACTTATGCAATCCTCAATATGAATAATATTACCTACTGGAATAATAACGGTAGACCATGAACCAGTACACCAGGTAAGTTATCAGGAAAGAGATGTGAGTCATTAATGGACACACTTAAATATCAAGTCTTTCCTTGCTATAACTTTTCCTAGACATGCACTATCACACTACAATAATATCCAGTAACAATAATAACACCCTTTCCTGAAAATAAAGGAAAAACAACTCTAAGAGAACTTAAAAGGAGAAACTATTTTTCTCTCTTAATTTATCTCTCAAGTACTAAAGCAGCAAGAGAAAGAAAAGGAAGTGATTTTGGTGTGTTTTACAAGGTAAACACCGTGCTCCTTTTATAATAAGAAAAGTAAGCACCAAACTAAGATTTCCATGATGTGAAACTTTTCTTCTCACAATTTCTGTATCTCATATTTTGTTGTTATAGTTTTAATCAGCTTATGTACCTTTCACTAATTGACACACTTAAATATCAAGTCTTTTATGATGTGAAAGATCAGATTAACTATAACCACATAACATACTAAGAATTTTCTCCAACACTATTATAATAACTATAGTATCGAAATAATATCATAAATAAGGAATAAACTATTGACTCTTATACCATTGTTAGGAATCAAATAACCGCATAAGAATTCACAACTAAAATAAAAGATAAGAAAAGAAAAAAAAATTGATAATAGACAATAATAAAATTTTACTATCGGAAGAAATTATAATACTCTCTTTAAATCTAAGAAGAAAATAATAATAATATTATTTTTCGTAAATAAGAGAACTCAATTACTATGCAATGCACAAATAGAAAGGAGAAAGAAAAAAAATTTGAAGTGATTTACAAAATAAACAATGTGTTTCTTTTATAATAGAAAAATAAACATTACATATAATATTTTTCTAATATGAGACTTTTCTTTTCACATTCTCACAACAAACGAGTAATAAAAGAACCTACTTGAAAGGATTAAGAAATAGTACGTGAATCCACTCGAATGAATTTTATGGTAAAAAAAGAGATAAGAGGAGAAAATGAATAAAATAGTTCAATAAATAAATATAAGAAAAACACATAATTATTTTGTTGTCTTATTATTCAATAATAACATTATAAAGTTGTTGAAATTAATTTCAAAAATATTACCACTTCTCTTTTAATTACATTTCACGTATAAGAGTCTCTTTACCTATTTTATAATAGATTTAGTCCGTAAATATTATAATCTAATAAAAATAGTTTCAAATGATTGTTGTAGTTAAATAATTAATGAAAAATTTAATAATAATTGATTATAAACATTATTTATTAATATAAATATAATTTTAATAAATTAATTATTTAAAACTATCAAAAAATACTTTTTATTTTATTTTATTTTAAACAATTTACGTTTATATTATTATAATAAAATAGTTTTTATTAATAAGCACATTTTTTAAGTAAGTTTATTTAATCTTTTATTAAAAAGGAATATCTCCGTTTTATAATTATTGTAGTTTTAATTTATATTTTCCACTTTTTAATACTTAATTATTTTCTTTATAACATGTTTTTAAATTAATTATTTTGTCTTTATTATTAAATTAATATTTTTAGTAAAGTTGTTTTAAAAGTAGTTTATTTATTGTTGTTAATAAATATGCAATAACCTTAAATTGTGGTTAGTGTCAAACAAAGAAACTATTAGTAATAAAAGTTAACTCTGTTGGTTTACGTGCTGTTGTAATCCCAATCATATCTATACAAAGAAACATTTTTTATGTAAAGGAAAAGATATTTTTATCTTTTCTTTTTTAAGTATTCAACTAATTTATAAGAAAAAGAAAACACATTTCAAATAAAAAATATATGTTATTTAATTTAATGATAACTTTTTAAAAGTTATCTATACTTTAATGAATATCTATACTTTTAGATTAAATTATTATCAATTATAATTAAAAATATTAAAAAAAATAGTAAATTTAATGTAATTAGTTAATCTCTTTATTATGTGTGAGGTTGGTAGTATTTTAGACCGTACGGAGTAGAAAAGTGAGACAGCGGAATCAGTGCGGTATGGAGATTCCGGCGGCGCCATGCAAACTGACATCTTTTAATTGTTTTTAGTATTTTTTATTTAAAATAAATAAAAGGTGAAACGATGCACGTGCAATCCATCAAAGTTGAATTGAAATAAGTGGTTCCTTCCCAGGTACCACCTACTCGCTTGCCACGTTAATCAGAATCATTTTGGAAGAATCAAAACACTAAAGTTTTAACACAATAAATCAAAACCCACAAGTTCAGTAATTTATTAAAATGAAATAAAAATAATTGAATTTTTTTTATATATTAGAAAAATAAAAATATAACTTTATTTATTAAGTGTAATTGAAGGAGTAGTTTTTAACCTGTTTCTTTTATGCTGTGTTCGTTTCAACGAAAAGTAATAATAAAAAAAGAATTTACGTGAAAGATTATTGTTTTTTTCATATAATTTACAAAAAATTAAAAAAAAAGAACTATCAAATTAATTACGAACGAAAAATAGAAAAAAAATTAACATAGTTAAATAAGTTTAAAAAAATAGTATTTAAAAATTTGTATAAAATCATATATTTATTAATAAAATATTATAATAAAATTTTTTACCAACAAATTACGTATTTAAATCAATTTTTTTATTAAAATATCATATTTATTTTCAGTTAATATGTTGAATAGAACTTCATATATAATTTTAAATAATTCTACATAATTTTTTATTATTTTTATTTTTTAAAATAAAAATATTTTTTTTCATATTAGTCCTTATAAATTTAATTTACTTATAAATTATTATAAAATATAAATGTATCTTTATAATAGTATAAGTTTATTTTTTATTTTAATTTATTTTGGAAATTTTATTAATCATTATTTATATTAAATTGTATCTTAATTTTAATTTATTTATATTAATATATTAAAGATATTTTTGTCATTTTTTAATTTATCCTATTATTTAATTTTTTATAATAAGTTAAATCAATTTTAGTAATTATTTTTTTATTTCTTTCCATTTTTACTTTTTTGTTTCCTTTATTTTTCATTTTTTAATTCACTTTTCATTTAAAACACATTAGACATGTGCTACTCTTATATCACAAACAAAAAAAAAAAAACTCTAATATCACAAACGAAAAAAAATAAAAATAAAATACACTCTTTAACTTATTTTTTAATTAATGTTTTATTATTAATTAATTTTTATATCTTCTAGATTTCAGTAAGGTATTTGATAATTATGTTTCCCTACTTTATAATTTATAAAAAAATTATTAATTATAGCACATTATTTAGTTCCACGACTTAATTACCTATATTATGGTTAATATATCATGACAACAAATAATTTAATTTGTTCTTGTTTTACATTATCAATTTTGATTGAATCGTATTCATATAACTAAGTTTATCAAATTTTGCGTCAAATGTTAGATTAGATCATGATTAAAACTAATAACTTTTTATAACATTTCGTGTCGTATAAAAACACAACTAACTATTAATAGTTCATCAAGAATATAAATATATGTGAATTTGGTTCATCATTTAAAAGATTCTCACTACATTTTGCAAATTCCAAATCAACAAACACAAATGGAACTTACTTGTTTCATTGAAGTAAACATTAATTACGGTCAAAGTATATATATTTTTTCTTACAAGCACACCCTTCTAACATATATTTTTTACAAATTCAAATGAATAAAATACAAATAACGTTTCTATGGTCAAGAATTTTTTTTTTTGTTTATCATGTGATATATATATATATATATATATATATATATATATATATATATATATATAAGTGTATAATTGATTTACCATTTAAAAGATTCTCAACAGAAAATTACAGAATTTAAAATAATAATCAGAAGATAAACTTACTTCTACCATTGAAGTCAACATATAAGTTTTCTAATGGTAGTAAAAGTTTTTTTTTTTCAAACACAATCTTCTACTGTAATTTATTATATATTATGAAAATAAGTATATAAAAAACTAAAAAGTTGTAAAAAAATAATAAAAAAACGAAGAAGAAGAAATATATAAAGAAAAAATAAAGGTGGTAGCTGTCCCATGTCCCGCCTGTTCTGGTTAGTCACTTCGTCACGTCACTGTGTGAAAAGAAGCTGACTGGAAAGAGCGAAAAACGAAGGAAGAAAGAACGAACGAAAGCTTAAAAGTGTGTTGATTGATTAAGATAGTGATACACTCCTTCAACGTTTCCGCGTCGATCTCTCGCTGGTTCTTCGGTCTTCGCCATGGCGGAGCGTGCTTCTTACGGATTGGGACCTCGATTAGGTCATACTTTCTTCTTCTTTTTTAATTCATTTGCTTCTTGATTTTCTGCTACTTATTGTTTCAATTAAATTGATGTTCCATTAAGACTTGTAGAATGAATGCCTGATCATGTTGCTTGATTTGTCTAGGAATGATTTCGAGTAACCTTACTTCCTGAAATTTCGATTGTTTCTTGTAGGATTCTGGAAATTAGTTTATGGTTGGGGTGTTCAGCTCTTTTTTTTTGTGTGTGTGTCTGAATATCTGTTTATTTATTTATATTTTGAAAATGTCCCGGTTTGTTGAATTAGGGATTTTGGGTGAAAAAATAAGGAAGCGTATTTGACGTCATTTACGTGTCTATGACTGTGCTTGTTTTGTGTGAATGGCTTGGACCATGGATTGGTATTGGTTCTTCATTAAATAGAATGTATGCTACTTTAGTAAAAAATTATAGAGCTGTTGTAAAAGATATGGTGCTCTGTGCTAATTGGCAGAAAAGCTAATGTCTGCTGCTAAATGGGGTTGTATGTATTGTAGCAGTTTGCATCCGTATTCAAAATGGTACAAAGAAAACTAAATACTGCTCTGCTTTCTGTGGTAAAAAAATTATGTGGTTCAAAGAAATTCATTTAGGCCATGTCCTCGCTGAATTTTCACTATTTGAGAAGCGATATGTCGAGCAAGAGGCGAGTTGCCTTTACATAATAATTTCCCTTCAACTATTTCAGAAAAGAATACGCTACTTAATTGCTTTTTACCCATTTTGTCTACTGTCTGTTTGCTTTAGCTTTACTGAGAGCAACATCTTCTTCTGTGATTGGAAGAGCCAGCAATATCTGTTATCAAAATATGTTACTATAAAACCTAATTGAGTGCCCCTTTTAGAACAAAATTACTAAGCTGTGTTAGTTCGTTCCTCAATCACCAAAGGATCCATTTCTGAGTCTCTTGATGTGGCTCCCCTAATTAGCTATGAACCTGCTCACAGCTCCCATGCTATAGTTGCTCGGGTAAAATCAATTGCATGCTTTAGACTACCAGGCTGAAACATTGAAACTTGAGACATGAAATCATGCTTTTCCTACATCTTGGGCACGATCCCTATCCTGAAGTGACTTCCCATAGAAGTGCTAGCAAGTTTTGAATCTTACATTTTTAATTTTCTAAGCACCTTTTCAATATGAATAGCTTGTAAAAGCTTCAAACTCAAACTGCTTGCCACTTTCTTCCAAACAGTTCTCATCCCAAGAATTTGCTTTGCAGCTGCCAATTTCTGAATAGAAAAATATTTTGGTAGTTGTTGTTTTAGCACATTGATACTGTGGTTGCTAGATGCTCTATCTATATGACATCTCTTAAAGCGAATAATCATAGTTACACATGAATAATCATATTTCTTAAGTGTGTGAGTTTGTAAGAATTAAAGTTATTAATATTGTTGATATGCTTAGTGCGGATGTAGTTTGACTCTTGAAGTTTGCTAAATCATTGTGCATGTGATAATACAGCAGTCAAATGTTTAAGTGAATGCCATGTTCTGTTATTTATCACTCTGCAGATCTTCAGCAATTACAACTTGAAGCTCAGCATAGGTGGTTACGCCCTGCAGAAATATGTGAAATTCTTTGCAATTATCGGATGTTTCAAATCACATCAGAACCACCTAACAGGCCACCGAGTATGATTTTTGCATATGTTACTGATTAATTTATTATTTCCTCCTATGTCGGTCTTGTCCACATATGGGTGGACTGAATTGCTTAAATGGTTAAAAATACTAATCCACCATGAATTGTTTGTTGCAACTGGGGATTTCTGAGGTTGTCCTGCAACCTAAGAAATGCCAATTATGGAGGTTGGACATATCTGTCTTTCTCTTGCAGCAAAAGACTTGCTTAAACATCACAAATTGTCTTTCTTACATCACAAATTGTCTTTCTTAAGATGTTTCTCAACCTTATACATGCCAACTTTTAGATCCCAAAAGATATTTGCTTCACATCAAAGGGAACCTGATATTTTATTTCTGCATAATCATGTTTATAGCTTCTAGGATGCTATTAATAGTTTTGTTCTTCATGCTAAAATATGACTCCATTTCTAACTGAATTTCATCCTTTAGCTTTTATTATTGCTTCATGTTCATAAGAACATTGCTTCTTGATGTGTATTCGGTGATTGCAGGTGGTTCCCTTTTTCTATTTGATCGGAAGGTTTTAAGGTACTTTAGAAAAGATGGACATAATTGGAGAAAGAAAAAAGATGGAAAGACTGTGAAGGAAGCTCATGAAAAGTTGAAGGCAAGCATCAAATTTTGTTTTGTTCTGTTTATTGGTTAATAAAATCTTTGAAAGACAAGCGATATATAAGATAACTCAAATTATTTCTGTTTATTTTTCTCTAACTGAAAACTAGTCTTTTATACCCTAAAAAAAGTACTTGCTGAGATTTTTACCTCCTTTGTGCAAAATTAGGTGGGAAGTGTTGATGTGTTACACTGCTACTATGCCCATGGAGAAGAAAGTGAAAATTTTCAGAGGAGAAGCTATTGGATGCTTGAACCGTGAGTGTGATGTACTAGTTTACATTCCATTAGCTGTCTTTAAACTTGAAGTACGATATTTTTCACGGCAATTGGCATATGAATTTCGTGCTCAGTACTGCACTATTTCTTACTTGCATTAGTGCATTTATAAGTTATAATTGCATTTGGAGTCAGTTAATATTTATATATAATAAGTTAATGTTACTAAACTGGATTCCCTTTGTGTTTCTCAGCAAATTTAAGCTTCCAATTTTTTACTGAAATTTATTTTTCTTAAATTAATTAGAAAATGATTTTGTTTTGCTGCAGGGATATGATGCATATAGTATTTGTCCACTACTTGGATATTAAGGTATTTTACATGTTTTCTTTATTTCACACATTTTTATCAAGGTATTTTGCTTCCTTACTAGAGCAAGAAGTGTATCATTGCATGATTTTGTTGTTGGTGCAATTTTGACCTGAGTATATATGACATCTAGTTGCTCAAGCCTAGTCTGTTCTGAATTTTTTAACTTGATAAGAACCCAATAAAACAGTAATGAATAAGAGATGAAAATTTCTCGTGTTATTTCTGAATTCGAAAACAAAGAGAAAAATCGTTCCTCTTCTCCCCAAAAGAGCCAACCCCAAATAGTCCTCCTCCTTTTTTCTTTTTTTCCCGTCTTTCCAAAAACCAGCCCCCCCTCTCCTATACCCTCATTGCCTATTTCTCTCTCTAAGCCGACACGCGATTCTGTTAGAAACAAAATCATAGTGGGTGTGCCTGTGGACCCAATGCAATGGGTTTCCACTTCTTCCTCTCATACACATTTTGGATCTTCCTAATTTGTCCCTCTAATTCTTTGCTTGTATCATAACTTATGACATTCCTCTAAACTTGACGGAGGAATACAGTGCTAGTGTACTACTGTACAGGTACTATGTTCCTTACCTTACACATTGACCATAATATGAACAAAAAATCTCTTCCATCTGATTTCCTTCTCATGTTCTTGCCATAATGCATTAGAGAATGTGCTTCTTGTGCAATTGTAAGCCTCAATAGCTATATTTAAGCTTTATAACATCCACAAAATGGTAAGACACTAACATGCAATATTTGCTCTTCTGCTGCTAAATTTATGTTTTTTTCTCTTTTTACCATAAGAATACGTTTTTTAACCATTAGAAATCCCAATTGATGACACCGAGTAAGTTGCATAAACCTTTTGAAAAATCCTGAACTCTGTCTCTATAATATTTTCTTGAAATCAGGCAGAAAACATTCAAATCTAATATTGACCCGCTTGTTTGATCTTTGATGATTTATTAATAGGTGTTTTGTTGGTTTGTCTTTCAGGTTAACAAAACCAATGTTGGTGGAAAAACATATTCTGGTGAGTCTACATCAGATTCCCAGAAGGGAAGTTCCTTGTCATCTGGCTTTCCCAGAAATTATGGTAGTGTGCCGTCAGGAAGTACAGATTCCTTGAGCCCAACCAGCACTTTGACGTCTTTATGTGAAGATGCTGATTCAGGTAAATCTGTTATATTTATTTTATGGTACAATTCATTCTGTTATTTAGCATGCTAAGGCTTTAAATTGGTTTACTGTTACCAATCTATTTACTAAGTGTTCTGTCCATTTGGTCTAAATGGTTTAATCAAACTCTTCCTAGAGGATATTCATCAAGCAAGTTCAGGATTACAATCCTATCAAGAATCACAAAGTTTGGGGAATGATCGCCTAATGGATAAGATTGATGCTCGTTCAAATAGTTCACATCTTATGCATCCATTTTCAGGTTATCTTATATTCTTTTTCTTCTTATATGGCTTATATGATCATTTTGTAACTTATATTCTGTTTAAAGAGATTTATGTATAGAGAGAGGAAAGATCTGGAGACTGAATATACTGATACTGATATTATTGATATGATGTCTTACATTAGTTCTGAAGTGATATAAAAAACAAAATACTAATCTCTATAAGGAAGCTTGCAAGAAAATAAGAAAATATGGAAACTAGTCTTAAGATATTGGACTTTTTTTGTATATTGTAACATTTAATTCCTTAAACGTAACTTGAATTTATCAACATGTTATGGGATTTGACATTTGAATTTTTGTGGTTTGTTTTGAAATGTTTTCAGGTGATCATGGACAGTTACCAGTTTCCGGAGCAGAATATATCCCACTTGTTCAGGGCGGTAAGTCTAGGGGTAGTGATACCACTTACATTGAGGGTCATAGAGCACATGGTATTGCATCTTGCGACAATGCCATGGAGCAGTCTGCAGGAAAGCATCCTGATCCTTCTCTTGTATCATCCACAGCCATTATATCAAGTGCATCGGGAAGCATACTTGAAGAAAACAATATTGTTTCAGGCAACCTTTTAGAGCGTATAAATGCCCTCACTGAAGAGGAAAGGGGACCTCAGCCTATCCACTCAAATTGGCAGGTACTACTTACTGTTCTGTGGCTATTCCAGTAGTGTACTCGTTCTTGCATGCTTACATCTGATTTCTCAGCACAAAGATGAGGGTTATTTGAGGTTCCATTAGGTGCTGTTATGCTATCTTGTTGTATGGGATGATATCTGGAATTTTCTATCTGGTCCCAGAAACCAAAGTTATTGCAATAATGGTGGAACAGCACCATGCTGCTCCTCCATGGACGGTCATGTCATCATGTGATGTGTTTCATGGTGAATAGTGGGCAGAGGGTGCTCATTCCCGAGGAGGCATTAAATCTTTTGTGCTTCTAATCTCTTCATATTTTTAGCTCTAGAGCATCTGCACCTTCTTGCTTCTGATTTGCACTTCTGGAATACCTTCCTGCTTCCTCACTTTAGTCAACCTCTGCTCTATAACATCAAGTGAGGCTTAATAGAGCGACCATCAAGATGTTCGTTATCTTGCTACAGCTGTTTTTGGGGAGAGGGGTCTCTGTTCTTACCCACAATTGACTATTATTCTGGAAATATTACTTTATGATTAAGGTTTATGTGGTTGCTAACAGACTCGATTGCTTGATGGGCTATATGGTTCACCTATTTTTTTTATGTTTGAAAACGGAAGAATATCTAGAGAGCAGGGAAGATAGGGGAGGTGAGAATTGGTGGGAGTTGTTGCTTGATATCAATAGAATTTTAAGAAATTCTAGAAGATGGATTTGTGGAAAAACTGACCTTGGAATACAATTACTTCCTTTCTAGGAGTTAGCCATTCAGCCATGTGTTTTAGTAAGTTACAGTGCAATAGAATGATGAAAAGGAGAAGAGCGTATTCATAACTTCTTGTTGCTGGTCTCCCTGTGTAGCATTGAATGTTTTGAATTGCTTCTCAACTTGTACAAATGCTAGAGAACATTGTGTTTATCACAGTTTTATTACAAACATTTTTTTACCTGATGTTTGTCCTAATATATCCTTATTTAATATCTTTTTGAACATGCAGCATTTATCAAATTGTTCAATCTGCACCAGTTTCTGAGATTTAGCAATGATATAACTATTTTCGTTTTGTTATTTTAATTGTTTATTCAGATTCCTTTGGAAGGCGATACAGGAGAATTAACTAAGTGGAGCCTAACCCAGTCATTGGGTTTGGAATTTGGATCTGATTATAGCACTAATTTACTGGGAGATGTAACTAAGAATGCTGGCCCAGACATTGTTCCTGAGATGTTCACTTTTAATGGTGAGTTGAAAGAGCAGTCTGTGCACCAAAACATCTCAGAGCAGTATACACATACACAATCTGAACCTGTAATGAAATCCAATTCTGAATATGAAGTGCCTGGTGAAGCAAGTATCAATTATGCCTTGACCATGAAGCGTGGATTATTGGATGGAGAGGAGAGTCTAAAGAAGGTTGATAGTTTCTCTAGGTGGATTACTAAAGAACTTGCAGGTGTGGATGATCTGCATATGCAGTCCTCCCCTGGTATTTCATGGAACACTGATGATTGTGGGGATGTGATAGATGATACATCGTTAAACCTGTCCCTTTCTCAAGACCAGCTGTTTAGCATAAACGATTTTTCACCTAAATGGGCTTATGCTGAATCAGAAATTGAGGTACTTTGAGATTCACACATTTATAATACAAAGTTTAAATGTTATTTATGGTTTTGCAGTTTGTTTTTCTTCTGTGTGGTGGGAATAAGTAATTAAATATGTATGGCACTTTGAATTTACTTCAGATTAATATCTTTTCATATTTTTCCATGGATGTTGACTGCTCTTTTATGGGTCGGATGCTTGTAGTTTTGTTCCTTCTTTATTTGGATATTTCCCCTCTTGTATCTAGTTCTTTGTTACAGAGTATTTCTTGTATTTCATGATGTATCCTGTTAATATTCTTTATCTGCTTTAGATTTTTATACTTGACTAATGGTTTAATAATTTTTCTATGGGTTTCTACCAGAAATGAAATGCGAGACTGGCTTTAATTTGACTGATATACTATTCAAAACCGTACAGGTGTTGATTGTTGGAACATTTTTAAAGAGTGAACCTGTGGTGGCCGCATGTAACTGGTCCTGTATGTTTGGGGAAGTGGAGGTTCCTGCTGAGGTCTTAGCTAATGGAATTCTATGCTGTCAAGCTCCACCTCATAAGATTGGACGGGTTCCCTTCTATGTAACTTGTTCCAATAGGTTTGCTTGTAGTGAAGTTCGGGAATTTGAGTACAAAGAAGGCTTCAACAAAAATATAGATCTTACAGAATTTTTTAACAGTTCAACTGAAATGGTGCTTCATTTGCGACTGGTGGGGTTACTTTCTTTAAATTCAGTGCCCACATCAAAGCGAGTGTTTGAGGGTGATATGGAGAAAAGAAACTTAATTTTCAAGCTTATTTCACTGAAAGAGGAAGAAGAATATTCAAGTAAGGAAGATACAACTGTGGAGATGGATAACACAAAACACAAGTTGAAGGAGCATATGTTTCACAAGCAGGTTAAAGAGATGTTGTACTCATGGCTTCTTCACAAAGTAACTGAAACCGGTAAAGGGCCTCTTGTATTAGGTGAGCATGGGCAGGGTGTGTTACATTTAGTTGCTGCTCTTGGTTATGATTGGGCCATAAAACCAATCCTAACTGCTGGAGTCAATATCAACTTCCGTGATGTGAGTGGATGGACAGCTCTACACTGGGCTGCATTCTGTGGCCGGTAAAGACTTTGTTTTCTTTAATTGTTTTCATTTGATTTTGTGTATGTTGCAACTACTTTATCTGGTGAAGCCTCTTTTGTTATCTTGATCATTTCCAACTTTCAGAATTTTGGATTTGATTAATATGAAAGGTGATATGAACATTTTAGCCCCTTTCCTGATAGGAAATCTGTCTTTTTTTTCCTTGGTGGATTGTTTATACGTGTGAATTGGCTCAAAATTAGTTTTAGAACAATTGCTTTGGTTAGTTAAAGAAAAGTTCAACGATATATTCTGTGATACATTCAGCATCAGAGTATTCCTTTTCAAAAGTATCCTTAGATGTATATCTTCATTCAGCATATTATGAACTGGTTCCTTACGTTATTATCTGTCATCTGCTCAGAGAGCGAACAGTTGCCATCCTTGTCTCCATGAGGGCAGCCACTGTAGCATTGACAGATCCAAGTCCAGAATTTCCTTCGGGTAGAACACCTGCAGATCTTGCTTCTAGCAATGGCCACAAAGGAATTTCCGGTTTTCTTGCAGAATCATTATTAACTAGCCATCTTGAATCACTCACAATGGATGAAAATAAAAATGGTAGGAAAGAAACTTCAGGAATTAAAGTAGTGCAAACAGCTTCAGAGCGAACTGCGATACCTGTGCTTTATGGTGATATACCAGATGCTATCTGCCTTAAGGATTCTCTTAATGCTGTCCGGAATGCTACACAAGCTGCTGATCGTATACATCAAGTATACAGAATGCAGTCATTTCAGAGGAAGCAGTTAGCTCAGTATGATGATGATGAAGAATTTGGATTGTCAGATCAACAAGCTCTTTCCCTTCTAGCTTCTAGAATGAGAAAATCCGGACAAGTAGAGGGTTTAGCCAATGCTGCTGCAATACAGATACAGAAAAAGTTCCGGGGTTGGAAGAAGAGAAGAGAATTCTTGATCATTCGTCAAAGAATTGTTAAAATCCAGGTTCATTGTTCTGCTCTCTTTATTTTCCTGTCTTCCTATTGTTAGTAAGGTAAACTACGAATTCAGTCGTGATAATTTTATTTTAATTTCTACCTGAAAAAAACTCTATATTTTTGTCCCTGCATGAAAAATTGGTTACAAATCAGTCCTTATTGTTTAATATAGTCCTAGTGGTATTAGAATAAACTAATGACAAACAGTGCTATTGTATTAAGTAGAAAGGGATTGTTGTGTCAGTTGTTGGAACCAAAATGTAAATGTTGAGACAAAAAGTATAAAATTTTTACTTACGACTAAAATGGGAGAAACAATGTTACTGTGTTGACTCGAGAGTGACCAAATCTGATACGATTGTTACATCCAATGCAGGATCAAATCACTATAGTGTTCTTTCATTTAGGAACTAATAATGTAGAATTTATGCATATGGGACTAAACTGAAGAATTATAATTTTTGGACTTTACGTTTTTTATATTATGGTTGTTCCATTTACCTCATTGAACATCCTATCAACTATTCTACAATTTAGGTGAAATCATGACGATTGTGTGATAGGGACTTGAGTATAATGGGATGCTTAAGTCTCACGTTTAGTTGAGATGTTTGGTGAAGTATTTGAGTATTTGATTATCTCCATTAACAGCTAACTTTTACGCTTTGGTTCCTCAAGTGCTCGGGTGTTTTATCAATTGGTTTGAGAGGTGGTTGTTGGTGACTCCTGCAAATGATTCTAACCGTTGAAATGTATAGAGTTTGGGGACGGTGTTATTATAAGGACTTTAGTATTATTACACTATGCCTATGTCTCATATCAAGTAGTATGAAATGTTTGGTGGAGTGTTTAAAGTTTTTGGTTCCCCTGGGTGCTAAGGAGGGTTTAATTGATGAAAACTTAGGTAGATATGCTAAAATGCTTTTTAGTTAAATACTTCCCCATCTCTTTTTGCCCTTTACATAACACTTGCATGCACGTAGAGATCACGTTGGGTATCAATATTGGTAATGGTTGCCTCTCTCCAGTTGTAAGGAATTCGGGTTACAGAAATCATGTTATCCTTCCCTTCATTTCCTGTTGATGTCTTCAATTTCATCTTCCGAAAGTATTTGTAGTCTGATTGCTATAGAAACCTGGAGATTGAGCACCCATAGAGCTCTCTTTTTTCTGTCAATTTTTGTTATGTGCCCTTGTACATATTATACATTCTTCTACTGACTTTCATTCCATGGTGTTGAAGGCCCATGTAAGAGGTCACCAGGTCAGAAAGCAGTATAAATCAGTCATATGGTCCGTAGGAATCCTGGAAAAGGTCATATTACGCTGGAGGCGCAAGGGCAGTGGTTTACGTGGATTTCGACCGGATACCCTGAACAAGGTCCCTGATCAACCAAGCGAATCTCTGAAAGAGGATGATTATGATTATCTCAAAGAAGGAAGGAAACAAAGTGAAGCAAGGTTCCAAAAGGCCCTTTCACGGGTGAAATCCATGGTTCAGTATCCAGAGGCACGGGCTCAATACCGACGGGTGCTAAATGTAGTTGAGGACTTCCGTCAAAACAAGGTACTTTCTACCCAACGTGTGTTGTTCTACGTATAAACTCATGAGGAATATTTGGCTTAATGGTACGTTGTTTTATATCTACCAGGGAGATAATTTGAATTTGATGAATTCGGAACAGACAGTTGATGGTGTGGAGGATTTGATTGATATTGACATGCTTTTAGATGATGAAAATTTCTTGCCTGTAGCTTTCGATTGATTCTCTGCTGTTGCTCCACCTTTCGGTAAATAGATGATATGTCTACAGTTGTTTTATTTGGCATTGGAAATTTCCTAACCTCGATTGCTGCTGTGTATATATATATATATATATATATATATATATATATATATATATATATATATATACATATATATTGGATTATAGGTCTTCCTGTTTTCTAGCACAAAACCAATATCCAAGGTTGGATTATAAGTAGATTATGGAACCTAGAATGCGTTAAGGTTGACAGTTCAAATATATAATAGACATATTTTAGTTTTATATATGGGGATTTGTATATGACAAGATGATTTTATTTAAATTGACATGCTTTTAATTTTGAAAATTGTATCATTTTTTTAAATTTAGTATTTTAATCAGTTTTGCTTTTAGTTTACATTTTTTGGATAACCATGTTACTAGTACGGAGCCTTTAAAGGAGGATATTATTAGAGTTGCTTAAGAATAAAATTATATATTTTATTATGGGTCCTATAATTGAGTTGCTTAAAATATGATCAGAGTTATTTATTTAAATAATTTTTTTTAATTTTAAGTAATTTTTTTTATTTTTAATCGAGGAAGACGTGTAATTCATAATAAAATATTTATTTTTATTTTTAAGTAACTCTTGTAGCAATTCCCATTTTGCTGATGATTAAAGCTTTATTTTTCAACTTTGTTTGATCCACAAGTTTTGCACCCGAGATACCTTCAGGAAACGAGTCCAGTATCACTTTCGAATAAACGACATGATAGTTGGTTCACTTACTGTCTTTTACATTGTGTTAAGTTAATATAATATACATGATAAAATAGTGTATTTAAGTGAATTAAAAAATCAGTTAAAATTCTAATAAATAAGGTTATCAGTGAAAAATAACCATCTTTCTGTATTTGCATTTGAAAAAAGTAGTATCGAAGATTTTAGAGATTAAAATAAATCTGTTTTAGATTATTCTTATGGTAATATGAGAGTTATAACTTGGCAGTATCTAATAAGGATACAGTAGAAAAAGTTTATATTATTTTCGTTGTAATTTTAGAGTTTTAACTTGCCAGTATTTGATAAGGATACCATAGAAGATTTATAAACGTATACTGTAATTATCATGTTCTTACGCAATTTGTCCAGGTCTCAGGTTTGAAAGTCAAATCGCATAAATCTTGCCTCATTTTCTGAGGAAAACGTCACTGATGCTAAGATCGCAAAGTTTAAGCATATTAGGAGGCTCAATCATTCTTGTGATCTGGGTAAAATACATGCCCCCTTCATCCGCAGAGTTACCATGAGAGACTTGTCTTGATTTATCGGTACGGTTAATATGCAGGCACATTAGGTGGAAGCAAAATCTCATGAAGAGACTGGCCGTGTCACCTTATAGCCAAATCGTCCTTATTATTTTGATGTATTTAATACAGAATATTTGAACAAAATGGGTAGACTTCTTCATCATCCATCTAACGAAAATATGTTTAGTTTAATTTATTATTTTAAAATAGACCAAAACTCTTATGATCCGGAGGTAAGTTGACACGTCAACAAATTGATCTTTCAATGAAGTAAAAAAAAATGTTAATAAAATTAATCTAAATAGACAGATTTAATTAAATAACTTAAAATATTTTAATTTAAATTTTATTTAATATTTTTAGTATTAGAGAAAATAAAATCTTTAAAATAAACTAACAACAATTAAAAACATATATTTTGATTTTTTAAGATTAATAAAAATAAAAAATTTAATATTAGAACTTTAAAATTAATTTTAGTGAAGTAAATACATGTTCATTAAAAAAAAACTCTTAATTAGAAGTATTTTTTTTTAAATTACATAGATTTTAAGATCTAACTATTATTTTTCATGAAGTAAGTCTTGAATTTCATAAACAAAATAAAATTTGATATAATTAACTCAAAATGAAGATTAGAGTTTTCTACAATCTAAATCTTAAAGATAAATAGAGAGGATCATTGACTATTTTAGACCAACTTTAATATTTTACAAAATATTTATATAAATAAGTCGTTTAATGGTTTAAGATAATTTAAACACTTATTAATTATATTTTCATTATTTTTGTTGACTTTTTGCTTCCTAGTAATTATAAAAGACTAAAACGGACATTAGTCAATATTGCTCATATAAATATAAACCTCTCTCCCATTTGTGAATACAATTCTTCTTCTCTGCAAGCTCAGACACCATCTTCGCCACTTCGTAATTAGAACCTATACAATTTGTCATCCATATAATGTTGACATGTTGTCTCATCTCTTAGAACCTTTTACCCTCCCTTATGGTCTTGCCTTCCCTCACGATCTCTCCCTCTAGAATTGATGTTGTATCAATACTTTCCACATTAGTATGCAATTGATTTAATTCTCTTGACTTTCAATGAAGATTCTAAAATGGATGTTGTATATACTGACTTAGCATAATAATGAGGATATTTGTGATCAAAGCCATGGAATAAGATTAGAGCAAAAGACAAAGAAAATTATGAAAATATGTCTTATGATAGTGATATTCCATGGGATTAGGTGGTAGAGTGATAGGTTTGGAATTGTGTATAAAAGGAGAATAACAGAATGTGACAGTTATAACCTATGGTAGATGTTTTTCAATGTGTTTTGTTGGGAAGAGTCAGTTGGTCTTTTCTAAGAGGGAAAGGAGTTGTGAGAGAGTGAGATCATCTCGAAAGATCTTCAATTGTTACACCTTGTTATTGTTATCTACCACATTGGCATAAACAATTTTGTTAGTAATAAAGCAATTCAAGAATTTATCTTGAATGTTTCTGTAATTATAGGTTGTTCTATCAACTGATATTCAGAGCCTCTTTCTTGGTACTGTGGTAACTGTGGGGGCTTATGGTTAACACTAGGATGGAGTCAAGACTTGATGCTTTAGAACGTATGTTTACAGAAGTTGTGCATGATAAAGATAAATTGGAGAATGGACACGTTGAGCATTTGCAACGCCTCGAGAATATGATCAGTGGCGTTATGGTTGTGGTGGAGAAGATGTCAAGTGCGTCGACGTCTGGGAAGAATAAAAATGTGATTACACTACAAAAATCTATTGAACAAGATCAAGATTGGAAGTCGAAGACATTCCCATATTTGCGGGAGATGACGCTTTTGGCTGGACCAACAAGTTAGAGAGATACTTTTGCTTGCAAGAAGTATCTGAAGTGGAAAGAATGCAGGCTGTGATGATAGCATTAAAGGGAAATGCCTTAAATTGGTTCCAATGGTGGGAGTCTTGCAATCCAAATCCCACTTGGGAATCCTTTAAACTGGTAGTGGTGCGACGTTTTTAGCCTAACATGTTGAGGAATCCTTTTGAGGTGCTCATTGAGTTAACTCAAACTGATTTGGTAAAGGATTACATTGAATAATTTGAGCAATATGCGGGATTATTAAAGGAAATTGATCAAGATTATCTTATTGGGATATTCTTGAATGGATTATGGGATGATATTAAGGCTAAGGTAAAACTGTATAATCCTTTAAATTTGACAAAATTAACGTTGAATACTCAAATGGTAGAAGACAAAATCATAATTTTGTCTAAAGGGAAAGGATACGTGGAAAATAAGAGTGGTTTTAGTACCAAGAATAATTGGATAATAAGAACCTTTTCCAGAGAAGGTGAGACTCAATTACCTCTTTCGGATAGAGGAAAAGAAGAAGGAAGAGGTACAACCAATCATCTTACTAAAATTTAGGGCTTAAACTGTAATTGCGGATCATCATTTAGAAGGTTGATAGATGAGGAGATGCAGAATAAGATTAAAAAAGGATTATGCTTCTGGTGTGACGAGAAATATGATCCTAATCATGTATGTTGAAACAAACAATTCCACATGCTATTATTAATTGAAGGAGTAAACGAGGAAGATGGTTTACTAGAAAGTAAGGACGAGTTGGCGGAAGGAGAGGAAGGTGCTAAGCTCATGCAATTATCCATGTTTACCTTGGCAGGACTTACCACCAAGAAATCATGGAAAGTTTGGGAAAATATTGGAAAAGAAAAAGGTTGTTGTGATGTTGGATTGTGGAGCATCCCATAATTTTTTGTCTAAAGAATTGATTAACATGACATATGTGGATTACAAACAATGGAAACTCCCACTTATGTGGTGGAAGTTAGGGATGGCTGAAGGGTACAATGTCAAGGGAAATGTGCATAATTTGTTTTCGAAATCCAGGACTTAAAGATTCAACAATAATTCTTCATTTTTGAGATAGGGAAGTGGATGTTATCCTCGGGTTGGAATGGCTTGCCAGTTTGGGGGAGGTTAAGGCTGATTTTGGGAAGTTGAAACTTACCATTGGCGGAGGGGATGAACAACGTATGGTAGTAGGTGATCCGGCCTTGTCTACCACTGCAACCTCATTTAAAAAAATTCTCAATGAGTTGTAGACATGGGATAAGGGGTTTTTGGTTGATATGGTTTAGGATCACAATGTTGAAGGAACCAATGCAGTTTCGACAAAAGTGGAAAAAGTGTTGGCATCCTATATAGAGGTTTTCAAGAATTAGAAGAACTACCTCGTAACCGATAACAAGACCATGCTATCCATCTCAAGGAAGAAGCTTCCATCCCAAATCTTAAGCCTTATAAATGTTCACACAACCAGAAGAACAAGATTGAACGATTAATTTGTGATATGTCAACACGACCATAAGGACTCTTAACAAGTTGATCATTTCGAACAAATTTCCTATTTCAATCATAGATGAGTTGTTGGATGAATTAGCTAGAGCTACTATCTTCTCTAAATTGGATCTCAAAATATGGATATAACCAAATTCGTATGAAAAAGAAGATATTGAGAAGACAATTTTTCAGACACATGATGACCACTATGAATTTTTAGTCATGTCCTTTGGATTGACAAATGTCTCAACAACCTTTTAATCACTTATGAATGAGGTTCTTAGGCCCTTTTTAAGAAGGTTTGTATTAATATTTTTTATGATATTTTACATTTCTTCCTTGGATCTGCACCTCCAATATTTATCACAAGTATTGCAGTTGTTGAATGATCATAAATTGAAGGTTAATAAGAAGAAATGTAGTTTTGGCCTAGACAAAATTAAATACTTGGACCATGTGATTTCAAGGAATGAGGTATCAGCCGACCCTAAGAAGGTTGAGGCTATGTGCAATTGGCCAAGACTGAAGGATGTTACTGCTTTAAGGACTTCCTTGGAATAATTGGGTATTATAGAATATTTGTCCAGAACTATGAAAATATTGCTCAACCTTTGACACACCTGTTAAAGAATGAAGGGTTTATTTGGTCTGGTGAAGCCTAACAAGCCTTTAAAGCATTAAAGGTTGTTGTGTCACAATTTCTTACCTTAGTGGTACCAGATTTTTCCAAACCCTTTGTGGTTGAGACGAATACTTGTAGCAAGGGGTTGTGTGTTGTTTTGTTACAATAAGGCAGACCTTTAGCCTTCTAGAATCAAGCTTTGTCTGAGAGAGGGCAAATGAAATCTATTTATAAATGTGAATTAATGGTAGTGGTTCAAGCGGTGTAAAAGTGGAAACACTACTTAATGGGTACTCATTTTACCATTGTCACAGAACATAAAAACTTGAAGTTTTTGAATGAGCAGAAGTTGTTGAAAAAAGAACAATTAAGATGGGCTTCAAACCTTATTGAGTTCAATTTTGACATTAAATATAAACCTGGAAGAGAGAATTTGGTTGTTGATGCGTTGTCTAGACAAGTTCTTTTCAATATTTCCCTTCTACAACCTCAAGAATGGGAATATTGGGATATGGAAATGCAAAAGGATGCGAAGATGAATGCCATCATGCAAGACTTGCTAGTGGAACCTACTATTCATGAACATTATGAGATGAAGAAATGACGATTATACTACCAAGACAAACTAGTTTTCCCTAGGCACTATGGTAGAATTCCTACCATAATTGAAGAGTTGCATGAATCTCTCTAGGAGGCCACAACGGATACTTTCGCACTCTTAAAAGAATTGCAGGTGTTTTATATTGGAAGGAATGAGAAAATATCTTAAGACCTTTGTGATGCAGTGTGAAACTTGCCAGTGCAAGAAAAGTGAAACTTTAGCTCCTACTGGCTTATTACAACCTCTACCGGTTCCAACTCAAGTGTGGTATGACATTTCCATATCGAGGGTTTACCTAAAGCTACGGGGAAGGATACTATTTTTGTGATGGTAGACAAATTCATGAAGTATGCTCACTTCTTTGCCTTATCACATCCTTACACTGTTGCAGATGTGGTTCAAATTTTTGTAAAAAAAGTAGTTAGACTCCATGAGTTTCCTTCCACAATTGTGTTAGACAAGGACCAATTATTTTTAAGCCAATTTTCAAAGGAGTTATTTAAACAGGAAAGAACAAAGGTGAAATATAGCACAATATACCATCCATAAATAGATGGTCAAACGAAAGTGGTAAACCATTGTTTGGAGACTTATCTAAGGTGTATGACAAGATCTCAACCTAAGCTTCAACATACTTGGTTACCTTGGGCTGAATTTTTGTTTAATACTAATTATAATGCCTCTTCAAAATCGACACCTTTTAAAGCTTTATATGATTGAGATCCTCCTTTAATTTTGAAGGGGACTACCATTACATCCAAAGTTGAAAGTGTGAATCAGTTACTAGAAGAAAGAGATGTTATTTTGAAATACTTGAAGTACAATTTATGTTGGGCCCAAGAACATAATAGACTTAAAGTCAATAAACACAGAAGAGAAGTCACCTATCAAGTGGGAGATCGAGTCTTTCTAAAGATCCAACCTTATCAATTCAAGTCCCTCGCAAAACGACCTAATGAGAAATTGAGTCCTAGATTCTATGACCCTTATCATATTCTAGAACGCATTGGCCAAGTAGCATATAAGTTGCTACTCCCTAAACACAATCGCATCCACCCGATTTTCCATGTGTCTACTCAAATTAGCTATGAGGACCATGCTAGAATCACAACCTTTGTCTCCTATATTATTCGAAGACTATATATTGGAAGTAATCCCTGAGAAGTTGTTGGATACTCGTCTCAATTCAATGGGTGAGATGGAAGTTCTTCATAAATGACATCAACTTCCAGACCTTGAGAATAGTTGGGAATTTGTTGTTGTTATTAAGGAGTGACCAGACTTTCACCTTGAGGACAAGGTGAATCCTCATGGACGAGGTAATGATAGATTTGAAATTGTGTATAAAAGGAGGAATAACAGAATGTGATAGTTACAACCTCTTGTAGATGTTTTTCAATATACTTGATTATCATAAATAGTCAAGGTTTTGTTGGGAAGAGTCCATTAGTTTTTCTAAGAGGGAAAGAAGATGTGGGAGAGTGAGGTCCTCTCGAAAGATTCTCAATTGTTGTACCTTGTTGCTGTTATCTACCACATTGACAGAAACAATTTTGTTAATAATAAAGTCATTCAAGAATCTATCTTAAATGTTTCTATAATTAAAGGTTGTTCTATCATACAGGTACGAGTATAAGCATGAGAGTTGTGATTGAGGAGCAACTTGTGTTTGTGATGATAAAAAAAGCTTAAAAGTCTGGGTTAGACATTTTGGAAGCTAGACTTGATGGTTACTTCAAGGATAGTAGAAAATTTAGGTGTGTTAGGCCTTGATGGCTTGTATGATTTGTTGTTGTTGTGAAAAGTTCTCTTGATAGATAGTCCTTGAATTTTGAGATAATTTGAGATAATTATATAGAAGGGATTGCTTTAGTTGACAAGTTATTGGTTGCTAGTTGAATGACATGAAGATTTTGTGTGTTGGTGGTGTGGATGAGACTTCTTCAATTATAGATGATGTTTCAACTTGTGATTTGGATAGTTTGGGTGAAGATGCTTGTTAGGGGTTATCATCACTTGGATGTGTCAAAGATAAGCTATTATTGTGGTGGAACTTTACAACTCTTTTGAATTTCATCCTTATAATGAGAGTGGACTTGAATAATACATGATTTTAACATTTTTAATGTTTGCATATTAGATGCCTAGAGAAATAAACATTAGAGGGTGAATCATGTTTATTTTACTGTGAACAATTTTCACAATTAAAAAAAAAAATACTTTGTTGAATTTGCATAATTTTCACAATTAAAAAAATAAAATACTTTGTTGAATTTACATAATGACATTTCTTTTGAATTTAATAACTTGAAAACATTTCTTTATGTTCAATTCTAGCCTAAGTTGTTCTAGGCAAAAATAGTGGAGACATACTAAAAAGTGTAAGGTTTCATGTGCATGCTTGAAGGGTATATTAAGGCTTCGTTGACGACAAACATTTAGTATAGTAGTGCTTCATGATTAATAATAGTTTTTTTTTTTACTGTTAAGATAGAGTTATTATTTGATAGAGATGGGTAAACAGTTGGTGAGTGACTTCAAAAATAATTGGATTTCAAAAAACAATCGGTGATGATTAAGTGCTCTTGGATGGATCAAGTAAACTTTATTCTCTAAGAAAATACATAATCCTATTGTTGTGTTGAGAATTCTCGAGACACATAATCAAATGGTGGATAAATGGTTTGGCAATTCTTGGAGGCACCATTTTGACATTAAAATCAAAATCTTTTCGTTTGAATGTTCCATGAAGGTATGATTATGGTTGATAAGTGATGGTAAGCATATTTGGATGTTATTTTATAAGAAAGAATACCATTAGAAATTTTCTTTTTCAATAGATTTTCTTGGAACCTTTAATATAATATATTATGATATTTTAAAATATGCTTACATAAATTCGAAATACTTAAAAAATTAGGTCTGATTAAGTAAAAAAAATTAATCTAAATTAAATTAGGTCATGCTTAAGTTTATAAGTTAACTCATTTTGTAAATAATTATTAATTTTTAAATAAAAATAAAAGTAATATTATTTTATTAATATATATATATATATATTATAAATTATTTTGGTAAAAAATGTATTTATTCTAAGAATAAATATAAGAGTAAGTCTTTAACATCTATTTAAGTTTAATAATTAAGAAAAAATATTATTTTAAATTATTAAAAAAATTAATGATGATAATAAAAAATAAATTTTTATTTTTTATTTTAGAATTAGATAGATCTTATTTTATAACTTATATATTAAATTATTATATTTGAAATAAAAATAAATTTTATTGATATAATTTAAATTTTAAAAATATATTTTTAATTTTAATTTTTATTTAAATATTTTTTAATTAATTAATTGGATATAGATACAATAATAATGATATTTTTTTAATTACGACAAAATCAACTTGCTTTTGCCATTATACAAAATCTCCATATTCACATAAGATCTTGTTTAAGAGAGTGGCATAATAAATGTCATCCATGTTTTTTAGTCTTTTGATCATATCTATCAGATTCATATAAATAATTTGAGAGATATTGAATGAAAGGTCCTCAAAGAGGTCAAATACCACAGATTTGGATCCCACCTTATCCAAAATGCTTTTGTTACATACTTAGTGCATGAATAAAGACCATGAAAATAAGCATTTGAAGCCTAAAATGTTGCCCTATTTTCCGGTAGGAAAGTAGTTTCAATAAGGCAAGGAAAGCACTTTCGGTAGCATGATTTTTCTTTCATCTTCTAATTACTCTCATTCTTTTCTATTTCTTATTCTGACTGTAATCATATCTTCTTTCATTTCTCACACCGTCTCTCATCATCGATTCTCAGTTCTTGTTATCTCTTATTTCAATTTTTTAGTTCTTATCTTCTTTAGTTTATCTTCTTCTATATTTTCATCTTTTAGTAAATTTAAAATGATTTAATAGAGCTTTAGACATTCCTGGTCTCGTGTGGGTATACTCCTGAACATGAGTTGATCTTGTTAGGATCGAGCGCTTACCACTAGGCCAAAAGCTATAGCCATTAGTCAGAGCGCAACTCTTTTTACTTTAACAGCCCAAGCGCCACGATTCAATTGTGACTCGGCCACCTGACCTTCGTCACAGGACAATTGATGCTACCTGCAACAATCTCCCCTCGACAATTGTCCTACAAGGTATCCCACTCTTGGATTGTGACTTGGCCCACCCGGCCTCGCCACGGGACAATTGTGCAACCTGCAACAATCTCCCCCTCAACAATTGCCCACCAAGAATCGAACTCGTGACCTTGGCTCGATACCAATTGTTAGGATCGAGCGCTTACCACTAGGCCAAAAGCTATAGCCATTAGTCGGAGCGCAACTCTTTTTACTTTAACAGCCCAAGCGCCACGATTCAATTGTGACTCGGCCCACCTGACCTTCGTCACAGGACAATTGATGCTACCTGCAACAGATCTTTAATGGGTTGAAATTGTACATGAATTGTTTGATTTTGAACATGATCTCTAGTGTTTGGCTGCTAGGTGCAATGTGGAATTTTTCGAAATATATTGCAACTTCATCATCATGAGATAGGAATGTAAGACTAACTAGTCTTTCAATTCATTCTTGGGCCATAGTAAGTGAGTGCAACAATTGAAAGAGACAAAATCAACGCAATTTTTTTTTTTAAATTGGTAGAAATATTATTTTATTATTTTTATTAGATATTAATATATTTTTATTATCTTTAAGAGTTAAAAATGAAAAAATATTAAGTTATTATTTTATTATATTTTTATTATATATATAAATAAAATATATGAATAATATTCATATGAAATATATTTCATATATAAAAAAAAACATCTACACAATTTCTTAAAAATTCTTTTGGACAAAAGACTAAGATTATTTATACAAATAAATCATAAAATTCTCTTAACAATTAAAGTATTTCTCTAATATCTTTCTAAAATCTTTCGTACACAAAACACAACATTAGATTTAGACGCGCGTTGTATCATATATGTAGGAGAGGACTATCATCTTCAATATAGAGTTTTGTTCTTTTTGTCCAACTCTTTCTCCGGTCTAAGATATGGAATTGGATGCTTTGGTGTCTTTTTGTTAGTTTTGAATTTTCAAGGTTGAACTTCTTAAAAAACGGTCTCACCTGGTTACATGTATGCAATGTTTGTTAAATCCATCCGGTCCCTTAACCCAAAAATATATAGATTCAGATTGGTTGATTTGGGTTAAATTAATTTTAATAAAATAATGCTTTTATAATATAATAAATTTATTAGTAATAATATTTTTAAAAAAGAAAAGAAAAAGAAAAACAATAAAAATTATTATCATAATCACTATAAATTATAATAAAAATTATAAATATAAAATATAGTAAAGAGTGTGAAATGAATAATTTAAAATAATATGAAAATATAATAAATTAATTATTACTTAAAATTTACGTAACTAATATGTGATAAAAAGAAAAAAATAAAATAAAATATATTATATTATATTTTTATAAAAAAATTATATTAAAAAATTTATCTTGATTTTTTTTCAAAACCAATTTCCCCCAAAAAAATCTAACTAATTTTTTGGGTTTATTCCTATTTAATTAAAACTTAATTATTTAAAAATAATATATCAATTTCTAAACCAATTATTAATTAGATCGATTATATGTTTTTACTCGTTTATTTGATTTATAATTTAAGAAGGAAACTCAACATATTAATAAAAAAACTATTTATCATCATCTTTAAAAAATTTTCGCATAAAAAAGTGTTAGGTATTTCAAAAGAAACTAATAAAAAAAAGATTTTACAAATGAGACATGAATCATCATATAAGAAAATATAAGAAAAATATGAGGTAATCTTTAATTTAAAATTTTAAAACATTAGATTATAGATCACTCCACGAACTATCTCTAAGATCACTGTTAAGTATTTTTTAAAAAGACTAACAAGACAATAAGATTTTCATAAATGAGATACAAATCAAATAAAAAAATATCACACTATTTTCAACCTTAAGATATTAGAATTAGATTATGAAATTTTTATCAACTTTAGACAAAAAAATCATCAATAGCATGTGATACATATCGGTCGCCAATAACAAAGTTGTATCAACTTTTTTTTCTAAACTAATTTTTAGAAAGAAAAAAAAGAACTAAATATTACGTTTTGAAAGCTTTAAATCATGTAAAACTTTAATAATATTAAATGATCAACCTTCAAATCCAAGTTTCATATAAAATTATTCTGTATTAAATCATTGAAATATGTCAAAGAAATACAGTAATAGACTATTATTTTCTCCAACAATATCATTGTATTGACTTCTCTAATTTTAATAACTTGCTTATTTTTATTAAATTTAATATATTTATGAAATTGTTTACTTTGAACTTAATAAATATTATTTCTATTTTTCAAATGTGTCATAGTAAAAGAAGACGATGGAATACTAAAAATTTCAAAAACTTAAAAGTAAAAGTTGTTATAAGAGTTTTATAACATAAAATTTTATGATTCAAATTAAAAAAAATAATAACTTATAAAAAATATTTCCTAAATTTTAAGTTGTATAAATTAATGTATAAAATATTGTTTTTTAATTTTTTATCATAATATATATATATATATATATATATATATATATATATATATATATATATTATAAAGATAAGAGCTAGAACTTAAGAGTTTATTTTATTTATTATTTTTTAAATTTAATTTTTAATTTTTTTATTTAAAAATGTAAAAATTAATAAAGACATATTTTCATTTTATACTTTTATTAATTTTATTCATGCTTTTTATCATTAATTATTCTATATAGTTGAAGATAATTTTTAAAAATAATCTTTAAAAATTAAAAAAATAAAATAAACTATTTTTAATCTAATAATTTACAATATTAATTTATCTTAAATATTATATTAATATAAAATTAAAAAAAATAAAATAATAAGTGAGCAATTTTTTTGTCATAAAATTCCTGTCTTACCTATAATTAAGTGATACAATATAAACTTTTTGTAACACAATAATAATAATAATAATAATAATAAAATCGTACCTTTTTATTAATTAACTTATAGAAACCCATTGAATCATGGGTGAATTAATATTAGTTTTGTTTGTGTATATTTTATATTTACTTAAAAAATTAAATTATATCTGATCTTGTTTTAACTTTCCTTGTTATTTTAAATATAAGTTTAAAAAATTTAATTTTTATTATTTAAATTACGTATCTTCCTTTTTAAGATAGAGTCAGATTAAATTAATTTTTTTATAATTAATTTAATCCATCCTAGTTAAGTTGAACTAAATTAGGTAAACTGGATTACATAAATTTTAAAATACTTTTTTAAAATAAACTTTATTAATTAATATTTAAAAATATATTTAATTAATAAAATAATCATATAAACTATTTAATAATTTTAATTGAATTAGACTGGGTTTAATCTTAAATAAAATAAAGAAAATCTCCATCTAAGGTTGAATTATATTAGATCAATTGAAGACTAAATTAAATTAAATTAAATTAAATTAAATTAGATCAGTTAAAGATTAAATTAAATGTTGTTTGACCGATTACAAGATTAAGTTGAGTTGTGTTTGACCCGATAAAGAAAAAGAAACCAAATCTGTTTGAATTATATCAAGTCAGATTCGGTTGTTGTATTGTAATTAATATCTGTGTATAGAAGATACATATGATATATATAGTTTTAAAACTTTAGAGACTCTCACTTCTTTATCAAATGAATTCTACTGATAAATTTTCATTGTTTCCAGTATATTAATTAGAAATGGTTTTTTTAATGCAAGTTCACTTTAGAAAAACAGGAATGAACTTTGTGCAAGCAAGGGAGGAGCAAAACGATGTAGTTTAGAGAATAAACGGCATTAATTGAATAAAATGAAATTATGAATATACAGAACAGTCATGGAGGAAGTGGGAGCGATGAAGATCTGTGGAAAAGGAAAAAGAAAACGTTTTGAAACTCATCTAATGGGGTGGTACTGATCAGAAACTCGTCTTGGGGGCAGCTTTCGCAGTATGAAGAGCACCAACGCTGACGGAGCAATCTCTACCATCTGCAATGCAAAAAAATCAAGAAAGATTCAGCAAGAAATCTGAGAAATGCTGACTGATCTTTACAATGAGTATAGGTCAAATTTAACTTGATTCAAAATATTTTTTATAAAGTTCAATTTTTTAATTAGAATTCATGTTAGGAAGAATTGGACATCACTGTTGGGGTGCATTAATGACACTTGAATGAAAGTTTCCATTGTTTACTCCTGGACAAGTGCTCACTGGTTAGAATGTTTATTCCTAAACAAGTTGCCTACTTATAGCATTTGAGATAGGGTTCAATTTTTAGTAAACAAAATGATGTTTTTATACTACACCAAATTCAGCTCTCATTGGTTTAGTGGAGCAATTTAATATGGCAGTTAATCACGATTCTCTGTTAGTTCCACCTGGCTGACTAAGAAATGCAAGATGCTGACTTACCAAATAGTACACTAGGTTAAGAATGGCATGGTCCAAGACATCAAGATCTGAATCCGAATCAAAAGCAGAAAATGCAAGCTACATCAAAGGTGAAAACAGATATCATGTCAGAAAGCAATTACTTAAAATACATAGAGAGTAGTTTTGAATGGGAAGAAACTCACCATAGCACATCTTATCAGGAAACAAGTGCAACAAATACTTGTAACAGCCCCCACCTGCCCAGGTGAAAAGTTAGTCACCAACATCATTTGCCATTTGCCAGAGTTTTAAAGTCATCATACAATTTTTACCTCACCATGGAGCATGGTCTGATTTTAAGGATATACATAAAGCAACAAATACTTTAAAGACAAACCTCGTAAAGTTTCTTTTGACGGCCTCTGGATTCAATGGGGAAGCGCCTCAACAAGAAAAACAACCTGTATCATTCAGAGGAGGTTAGTGTTCAATGGCCTACCAAGGATTGTGCCATCTGAAAGACAACTGCTTAGTGAGCTTACCTTCCACCATACACCAAAAATCCAAGAGCAGCAAAGAATGATATAACTGCAAGGAACATTAAAAATGGTCACGATACAAGTTTCTGAGTTAGCAACAATTCATTATATATATTCTCTCTACTTTTATTTTAAGAGCATTATATGAGGGCAAGATGAAAATTAAATATTGACAGAGAAAATCATCAACTGAAAATGATGTTGATAGAACTAACCTGAAAGGAAGAGTTTTGCAGCTTCCAAACCGGTGGCAGTTTTGCTTGCACTCATGTAAATCCAGAGGCAGATCTATAAGTATCAGGCGAGAAGATTAAAACAAAATCATTACATTATCTAGTAAGAATTCTTATTTTAAGGGCTAGAAAGGTGGGCAAGGAAAACAAGATTGTGCACTTGCCTGTATCAAGTAAATAAAACCATTGATAATAAAATAAGCAGGCCTAAGTTTCTGTGCCGGTTCACTTCTTGCCTGAGTACATTTGAGGCAGATAAATGGAATGTAACTTGGCATAAAAAAAATGACTGTTAATGTAGTTCTCCCAAAAGAAAGTAAGCATACCTGGTGATATATCTCAGCCCAGAACAAGACAAGCAGTGTATAAGTGGAAAAAAACAGAAGACCAGGAAGCTCCATTATCACCTGCTCTAGTGCCTATAACATTATATGATAATAGGTCAGAACAGGAACAGAAAAAATTAAGGTGGATATAAGCTGAATTGTCAAAGGGAAAAAAATAAAGGGTTGGGCAGCCAATTTGTAATTCAGCTAATTTCCTTGTGATACTGGTTTGTTGCTTATTCTCTGTTTGGGAGGGAGAAATTACTGCCAGGTCCTATGGCATGAATCATCGTGTGTTTGAGGTCATGATCAACCTCAATCTAACTAGTAATAACTAAGTTTTTCAATTTACCAGAAAGAGTAAATATAACCTGCTAGATATTGGCCCTGGCCAGGGCCATACCATATAACCATATAATGATCTTGATAAATATATATACGCACTTAATTTGGGGGGGGGGGGGGTTTGGACCTGTTTTATAAGTTACATAATGGACTTCATATAAAAAAAATGAGAATTATTAACATACTCCCAAAAAGATTCCTACACCCTAATAAAAAACAAAAACTCAATCAACTGATGGGTAATAAAAAATAAATCAACAGCTTTAAGAAAATAGAGTTGACTGAAGGGGGGGGGGGGTTTGGACCTGTTTTATAAGTTATATAATGGACTTCATATAAAAAAAATGAGAATTATTAACATACTCCCAAAAAGATTCCTACACCCTAATAAAAAACAAAAACTCAATCAACTGATGGGTAATAAAAACTCAATCAACAGCTTTAAGAAAATAGAGTTGACTGAAAACTTTAGGTCATGATCTTTTAAAACTTTGAATGAAACCAAACTATTTTCGTAATCCATCTTCCATTATAAACTTAATCCTTCAAAATCCAAGCTTGGCAAAAGACGTGATATGATCTATCTTTATCCTACTTCCCAGACCAACCAACCAAAAAGAAATGAAGAAGTGTGATTAATGCTTTATATTCCAGTAGTGGAGATTTAAGAACAGAAAGATACCTTTGGTCTAATTGCAAAAACATTTTTGTATAAACCGAAAAGGACAGCCCTCACTGCAAGTGTAATATGGATTCATCAAGCATAAAATCAAAGCAAATAAGCTAACAGAACTGTTTATAGACTATTCACAACTCTTACCTCCATTCACAACAATGTTCATCAAGTGGAAAACCTTCTGCGTCGTCCACCCATATTCAGGTACCCTCATTTGAATTCGCACCAGTTGTACCTGCGAATAAACAGGTTACGATTATGGCTACCTTTGAGAAAATCTGGCTTGGAAACAAACACCTACAAGCCCATATTTTACCAAGTTTCCCACAAAATTTACATCTCAAGCTGCAAAAGACAACACTTCACATTCAGCATGAAAAAAACCTACGTTTTCTAAGCAAAATTGTTTGCAAAACAATGACCCTTATAGAGAAAGATCAGTGTTGGAGCATCAAAATCTGGTCAGGGGTGGTTAAAGTTTAAACCTTTCTGAGATTTGATGAGATGGGGTGTCAATTGTGCAGTATATTAGTTCAGACCAAAACCAACAACGAAAAAGTGGTTCAAAAATAAAAAATCTAGGCCTATCCAAGTCAAATGAAAAAACTAGTCCATTTTTCTCAAGGTTCATGATTGTCCCAGAAAATAAAAGAAAATGACCAACCAGGGCAATGAAGGAGACCAACGTATAAGCTGCACAAAGGGCATAGTAAGTGCCTTTCTCCCATTGATCCGAGCCATCAATCTTGTTCCACAGTTGGAATGCATCCACAAACTGAGCCTCTCCTTCTATGAACCCAAAGCTCTTTGTCCTGAGTCCAAATGCCATATTTGGATTTGGAATCATGAAGGAATTAACAAGAAGGAATAACGTCGAAGAAGAAAGAGAGAAAGAAAGAAGAAGCAAAAGGGTAAGCTGTTTTCGGTGGTCTGCTACACCGGAAGTTAATAGAATGTGACGTGGCTATGTCCCGCATCCCACACGTAGGTGCCTCGTGTTACACGTGTGGCGTGGTGGCATATTCTTTTATTATGCAGGGGACATGCCATGCCTTGCTTTGATATAAAGGATTAGGAGAAAGAAGATGAAGATGATTGATTTGATGTCAAATTGGCAACAACAACTTTTCATTTGTGTCATCAAAAGGGTTTCTGTTTTGATTTGACTTTATCATATTCCTCGGATCAATCATTTGGTTGACCCTTTCGTCTACCAAATTTTTTATTCTAACAATATTCCTTATAAGCATAACATTAATATTGTTATTATTCTTAAAACAAACAAAAACTGCTTATCAAATATTAAAAAGAGAGTTATAATTTAAAAAATCATTAACAAGTAGTTAGAATATATAATTTTAAAAAATAATTATCAAAATATTAAAATAAAATAATTAAGAATAATTACACACTATAAAATATTTAAATAAATAAAATTGGGTAAAAATAAAACAGTCACATCATTCAAATCCTTTATTAATAATAAGAATATATATATATATATATATATATATATATATATATATATATATATATATATATATATATATATAATTTGGAAGTACTGTATCAATTACACCGTATTTTGTTTTCTGTATTAAAAAACTCTATTAATTATAGTATTTACTTTGAACGTACTTTCTTATATATGATAATATTAAAATTTATATTTTGAATGAATTTTTATTAGTTGATAATATAATTTTATTAATAATATAATAATAAATTATTATATAAATTATTATATATTTAATATTTTAATTTACAGTACATAATTTGTCTACTTTGAGTTATTTTTGAATTATTTTAATTATTTTTCATAAAAATTAAATAAATTATTTTTCAGCAGTCATTAAGTTTAATATCTAATATAACATAATTAAAAATTCTAATTTTTTTCTACTTCTAAGACTGTATTAAACTAAACAAAATTATTCTAAACTATCAAACTGATAAAAAAAAAACTAAAATGATTTTTTCCTATCAAGATCCGGTTCAATTTTTTTATTCTAGAACTAAAACTGAATGAAATAAACCGTATCATATCTCTCCTGTTTCCTATAATAAAATAAGAAAAAAACTTGCTGATTAAATATTATTTAAAAAATATTTTAAGCAAAAGATAATAATCACTATTACAATATTAATTATTTTCTGTAATGTTTTTATAAAAAATTATTTAAATTTGTAGAAAAATTATTTCTTGCAATTTTTATAAAATATTTAAAAAAATATTTTCATGAAATATGAGAACTAGTAGCGAATATTTAATATAATAAAGAATTATTATATAAATTAAAAGACGACTTCATGTGATAGTAGAAAAAAATATACGATAATGCAACTATTAATTTAAAATGTATTCATAATGAATAAAAAGTGAAAATCTATTTTGTTATTTTAAAATTTTAAAAACTAAACAATGAAATTATTTTATCAAAACAATTATCATTTAAAAACTAAAAAATAATATTATTTTAATAAACAAATTTGCCCTTATATTTATTTTATATTATTATATATATAGAACGGTTTTATTTGATTTTGTTAAATTGTGTGTTTATGATATTGACAATGTATTTGTTTATAATCCATAATCAATAATGTATACTATCCACAAATCTTGTTAAATCTCTATTCTCATAATCCACTATGCAATAGAATAGAAAGAAGAAAAGAAATAAAGAAACGTTCTTCTATGCCTTTCATCACAAAATTAAAGTCTAAAAGATCATGGTACAATGTTCTTCTAAAATGCACCCATAAATGTTTATATATATGTGTGATATCATAGACCCCTACTAGAATATGAGGTAATTTATAGTCTTTTTTATTTCTCCTCGCACTTGTAAAAATATGTTTCGGATATATCTTTTCATTTTATGCCTTTTAAGGAAATTTTAGTTCTTTTGATTGTCATTGTGAAGTAGAGCAAATTTAAAAATATAGGGGTAAAAATTTCCTGTTTTAAAAATAGTTATATTATTATTATTATTATTTAAATTATTGACAAAATGTGCGTATCAATTGCCTCTTTTTAAATTATACGATCAATCAGGATGTTGTAGAAGAATATATGAATAGGTGAAGATTTTTTTTTCTTATAAGCTCATTCATTATTTATTTAAAACAGAAAATACCTTACATATACATGTATAAAATCATTGGATGAATGAGACTTGTGACGTATACTTTTTACTGTGCAAGAAAACTTTGTAACGAAGTTTTCCTCATGCACAGTAAAATTCTTCTTATATATGTGCATACTGAAACGGGGGAGGAGACAAATCTAAATTTTCCTCTCATCTTTCTTCTTCTTTTGTCTAAATTTCAAGCAACGATATTCTACTCCTGCAGGATCTGGTGAAACAGGAGAGAGTTTGAATTAAGTGGGAAAACTTCGGTAGAAATACCATACAAGGTAAGGGGAAGTTTAATTCATTCAATATATAAAATTGAATTGTTGGGTACTCTGTGAATACCGTATGAATAAGGAATAGGAGTAGAGATATGAATTATTTGAATGTCCCGAAATACCATACAAGGTAAGGGGAAGTTTAATTCATTCAATATATGAAATTGAATTGTTGGGTACTCTGTAAATACCATATGAATAAGGAATAGGAGTAGAGATATGAATTATTTGAATGTCTGATTTTGAAGAATTTCTGATTTTGGATGCACTCGTTCATGGTTTGAAAGTTTTTGAAATTCTTAAAATTAAGAATGAATTATATGCTAAAATTGTTGTTTTCAACTTAAATTAGATATAATTCATGTTTAATTTAAATTTGGGACTAGTTTGGTTGTCTAAAAGCTGAGTAATTTGAAATCTGCCAAAATCTGCAAAATTTGTTACTATTACTGGCGCGCGAGGAAGAAGAAAGAGACATGAAAGGAATTTTTGAAAATATTCAAGGGTAAAATAGTCATTTTACATCTTAGGGACATAAATGAAATTTTTGAAAATGTCCAAGGGCAAAATAGTCATTTTTGGGACATGGAAGAAATTTTCGAAAATGTCCAAGGGTAAAATAGTCATTTAGGGACATACATGGAATTTTCAGAAAAGATTAAGGGCAAAATAGTAATTTAATGATTTCGAAAAAGATTTCGGAAATGATTTTGGAAAAGATTTTGGAAAAGATTTTGGAAGTGATTTCGGAAGTGATTTCGAAAATGATTTCGAGAAAAAGAAGAAGAAGAAGAATATATATATATATATATATATATATATATTTATATTTATATTTAAAATATATAATGAATGTAGCAGTTTTAAAGATTCTGTAGTGTGTTGTAACGTGTGTGAGTCGAGTCGAGTCTAAGGGATGATGCCCATAATCAGTTATGAGATGTTATGTATTGGCTAGACTGAGCCGGAGGGTTGGTGCCCAAAATCAGTCAAGTACTATTATTTATTGACTTGAATGAGCCGTGAGGACAGGTGGTCCAGAATCCGGCAAATGTGAATGATTTTTGTTGTTTTTGAATGGTACCCAGGGTGGTACAGAGTACTTTAGTGTAATAACTATGTCGGAGGATTCTGAACGAGGTCCCAGACTTTACTGATTGGTCGGGTCAGGTAGACTATGAGATCAGGTAGTGAGAAGTCGATGGGGGGATGGTTGGTGGTGCGCTCGGAGGGGTACTCCAGTATGAGTGATGAAGGGCGTCAGTAATCCTACTCTATGTGGAGGGTGGTCAGAATGGTACTGCGGGTGCCGATCACAATGTGCCCACAGATGATAGCCTCTGAGTTCGGGCATAGTTAGGGTATACTTCCAGAAGGTGTCTTAGTGTGTTGATGATTTTGTAATTGATCATAATATATAATTATTACTTTTATATCTGTTTTATTATATCGAATGATTTAATACTTACCCCTATTTTTCCATGTAGATGAGACTGCGATGATCACTTTTATGTGGGACCAGATAAGGAGTTGAGAGATGGAGATGTGACTACTGGACAACAAGGATAGTTCAGTGGGATAACTTCGAGGGAGCTACTTTTACATGTATAATATATAAATAAATTATGTTACTATATTTTGAGGTTCCGATAGTAAATCGGAATTTCAATCTATGTTACAATTACAGTAATATAATTATAGTAATATAATGTAAGATAGATGTCGTTATTTACTTGTTTACTATTTTGCGAAGACATCATTATAGTAGAGATTTCTAGGGTCGTTACAATAGTGGTATAAGAGCGGTAATATCCTTGTAAATCTGTGAGGATGAGTAGTGAACCTATGATAAGTCCGTTATGATTATACTCTTATATGTGAGTGTGTGTGAATGTTTGCTCTGTATTGATGGTTTCGTTTGATTTAGGATGACACCGCGACCTCCTACTCCTACTCCTACTCCTACTCCTACTACTCCACCGAGTGTAGATGCCCTAGCCAGGGCAATGGAAATGTTGGCAGCTGCCATGCAGCAGCAGGCTACCTACCCGCAGTGGAGGCCAACTATGGCATCATCCTCTACTGGATTCCACCAATCAGAGCAGATGGGGTTGGCTGAGTTCATGAGGCATAATCCACCTCGTTTTGGAGGAGATTTGGGTCCAGATGCAGTAGAGAAGTGACTGCGTGAAGTGGAGAATATTTTTTAGGCTACCTTATGCCCGGAAGACAGGAAATTGACATTCGGAAAATACTTACTAGTGGATGAGGCTGAGTTCTGGTGGTCAGGGACTCAAAAGATGATGACTGCACGTGGGGAGGTGTGTAATTGGGAAACCTTCTGTGAGATATTTTTGGAGAAATACTTCCTTGACAGTGTTAGATTTTAGAAGGAGACTGAGTTCCTGAGTCTG